TGCTATAAATTTTGAATGCATTTATGGTAAAAAACTACCAAAAATGGGAACACGTGAACAGAAAGAAAATTACCTCTACTGACAAATCTCGTTTTTATGGTACTTTTCCCACTGAAAACAACTATAAATACCAATTAAATTTCAAGTAAATTATCATTATAATCGATTTCAAAAAAATCTCTTGCCTTGCACCGATCCACCAAAAAAACTATTGAAAATATCTGGTTATATGGATCTAATTGCATTTTTGCTATAAATCAGATAACTGACTTCAAACAATGACAGAATAAAGTAAGCCATTCAGTGCAAAATTTGCAAATTTTTCTTCTCATTTCTTTTATTGTTAAATATAAATAGTTTCAGGTTAAATGATTTGCGGGGTAGCCGTGGTGACCCCTTTTTCATGGTTGTGATTATTGGAGCGAGCTCATTACATCTGGCACTTGAAGATTGGGCATCAGTAGGAGGAATCGAGGAACTGCAAGAAGACGTCATCCATTACAAGGGAGTAACGTTTCATCCCAAATCGAAATCGAATAAAATCGTACGAAACATCTTGAGAGACGAAATTAACAGAAACGAGTCTGTAATTATCTGGCACGACGTAATAAACAATTCGATTTCAAAACATCCATTCAATCCAAGGACTCCCCTTACTGCCAATCAACAAGTATCAGAAATCAAACCCCTAATCAATTCGCATCCTCGAATTGAAGGCCTTGTCTATTGTCAGAGAGACGGTGCACCCTATATTCTTGAAGATCTAAAGAAACTTCCGATACCAGTTGTTCAAGTTACAACAGACATAATTTCGAATTCGAAACAACAGGACAAAGATCTACTTGAAGGATACAGAGAACTGCATCAGGAAACCGCACTTGAAATCAAAACTTTAGCTATAATACAAAACAACAATAGCAACTTGAGTGATATCATAAAGAAGAAAAAGAAACCGTCAAAAAAACAACGAGAAGCACGAAGGAAACGAGAACAGAAATAAATTGTGAGTTTAAATTTCAATTCGTGACGGGACTGGGCTTAATTGTCCAGGCTTGGATCAAATTTAAATTTCAATTCGTGACGGGACTGGGCTTAATTGTCCAGGCTTGGATCAAATTGTAAATAAATTTTCTCTATCCTATTTTCTCCTTCTCTCTGTATCCACCAATATGACTAAAAATTGCAAAACGTGCAAAAAACCCATAAATGCCAGGGACAGATGTTTCAGTTGTGTATCATGCAATGCTCAAATGCATCTTGAGAGCACCTGCACTGGTCTTACTAACACCGCCATCAATGGCATAAAAGACTTGGGTTTAAACGCAATGCTTCTATGCGACACATGTGTAACTAAAAACGAAAGAGATAACTTCATAAAGTGTAGGACCATGATGCAAATGAACGAGAAAATTGAAAAAGAGAGTGAGGGAATACAAGCACGTCTTGAAAATATGAAAAAAGGCTGACGGCATAGGTTGATGAAAAAGTCAAAAACGCTACAAAAACCACATGCGAAAAACTGGAAAAAAGCTATGCAGATGTACTTAGTGTGAAACCTGTTAAAGATGTGAAAGCTCAACCAGGAGCTGGAAAAGAAGTAAAACAAGAAATACATCATAATATCAATAAAAGCTTCCGTATAGAGGGGATCAGAGAAGATCCCGAGAAATCAAAAGGCGAAAATTTTGTCCCCACAACCGAAAAAGTACATGAGGTACTAAAAAAGTTAGGAGTTAAACCACAAATTGAAGAATAAAAAGGCTAGGGAAATTCAGCAAAGAGCGCATCAAGTCAAGAACCTTATTAATAACTCTGTCAACGGAACATGAAGCACGATTGGTGCTGGCAAAGAGCTTCGAAAAAAGAGATGAGCTGCGAGATGAGGAAATTTACCTTCTGCCAGCATTATCGAAAGAAGATGCGAGGAAGGAAAACCTATGCTTAAAAAGACGAAGAGAACTTCTAGACGAAGGAGTCCCAAAGGAGAAAATCAAAATCAGGAATTTCGAGCTGTTCAATGATGGGAAAAAAGAGACGATAGAAGCAGAACAAGCAGATGATGCTTGACTAGGCTTTCTCAACATCCTGCAAATGAATGTAAGAAGTCTCATAAATCTCGAACGACGAATGAAGTTTGCAAATGCTATAGCAACATTAAACTATGACATAATATGTCTCTGCGAGACTTGGTTAAATGAAAGCATTGCATCATCTGAACTAATGCTAAATGAATACAGTATTTATAGATCAGAACGACAAACAGCCAAAGATCAAAATTTGCATGGTGGAGTACTAATAGCAGTGAAACAAACACTTTCATCTAAATTATTGCCAAATAAGCAACCTGAATGTTGTTTAACTTGCAGCATCCAAATAAACGATAAGCGAATTATTGTCTGCTGTTTTTGCAATCCACCTTCGAGCAGCAAATATCGCTATTGTCTAGGCGATTTCGCACAAATATTAAATGAAATCGAGAAATCAAATCAATCAACTGCAACAATTATTTGCGGAGATGTAAATTTTCCAAATGCAAACTGGATTGACTATAGTAGCAAGGAAAATGAAGAAAACTCAATAATTGAACTAATCGAGCAACATCAGTTCGAGCAGGCAATAGATTTTCCAACTTGTGGAAAAAACACCCTAGACATTACATTATTCAAAAATTGTCACATTCATGCGACTCCTGACGAAAATTTCTCAAAAATTTACAATTGCTCCGACCACAAAGCAATCAGCATTCTAATTGAATGTCCTCACCATGAGGTAAAAGTCGCTATTGAAAACTTTCGAAGCTTCGGTAGCGTGGACTATAACGTAATCAAGAAATCAATACTAAGTGAGCCTTTCTCACCAGTATGTCACACAAACATCAACAGAATGTGCGAGGAACTTTACGACTATTTGGAAAATTTGGTAAACCAACATGTGCCTAGAAGAACGAGACGTCGCCAATCACTTCCGCCATGGGTTACGCCAAGTACCTCAAACCTCATGAACAAACTGCGAACACAAACTAGAATATACAAATTGAAACCTACAAGCTACCGCAGAAATCTCATTCTATCTCTAAATAAAATGGTGGAAGAAGCAGTAGAGGAAGATAGAGTAAACTATCAGGAAAATTTGATGTCCACTCGTAACACACATTTAATTTACAAACACTTTAAGAGTCTGAAAAAATCAGAAACTCTCCCAAAGACTATGATCAAGGACAAAATAGCTGTTACTAAAGCCAAAGAAAAAGTGAACTTTTTGAATGAATGTTTTCACTCTGTCTTTTCGCCCAAATCAAGCTTCAACCTCAGTGATATGAAGTGCGAAAACACGATATTGAGTAACTTCAGTATCTCAAAAACATATTTGAACCAAATTATAACAGAGCTGGACATAACAAAATCGCGGGGCCCAGATGGATTCCCACCAATTTTCTTCCAGCGAACGGCCAGAGAAATGACCACAGTTTTGCATTGCGTTTTTAAAAACATCAAGAGGGTAAGGAAAATACCAGATAAATGGAAAGTTGCGGCTGTGTCGCCTATTTACAAGAAAGGTGACAAACGACTAATGGAAAACTACCGGCCGGTGTCACTCCTAAATATCATGAGTAAACTCCTGGAAAAATGCATGTATCCAGCGTTGTATGACCATTTCATTAAATTTATCACAAGAAGTCAGCACGGTTTTGTTAAAAACCGTTCAGTTGTTACAAACATGTTATCTTTCTTGAAAGAAATCTACGAAGCTATTGACAAGAACGCTGAAAACCATGTGATCGCATTCTATACCGACTTCTCTAAGGCATTCGACAAAGTCCCACATTATGAACTACTAAAGAAAATGAGCAACATTGGAGTTGGAGGCTGTTTCCTTGAAATAATCGCAGACTATCTCAGCAACAGGAAACAATTTGTTCGTGCCGACAATTTCTGATCAGAAACTTTAGAAATTACAAGTGGCGTACCACAAGGATCGTTGATTGGTCCATTATTTTTCTGTATCTTCATAAATGATCTTCCTGAAGTATTGAAATTTAGTGACCCATTTATCTTTGCAGACGACCTAAAATTACTAGCAGTGAATGTAGACACAAAGGACATCCAGCAGGACCTAAAAAGCGTTGAAAACTGGGTAGACAAAAACAAGATGAGTCTGGCACTGGACAAATGTTTTAAAGTCGAATTTAGAGGAAATCAACACGAATTCATTCTTTGTGAAACAGCAGTGGAAAGCTCGAATGTGATAAAGGATCTAGGAATACATGTGTCCAAACATTTAACATGGACAACCCATATTGACTCAAGAATGTCGAAAGCGAATAAAACGTTCTATTGCATCCGCAGAAACTTAGAATACAAAGTCAAAATGCGCATAAAACTTGGTCTGTACAAATCCTTAATACTTCCTGTTCTAACGTATGGTCTAATTATTTGCAATATCTCGAGAAGCGACTTAGGGAGATTAGAAAGGTTCCAAAAGAAAGTCTTAAAATGGATCACGGGAAACGATTCTGACTATACAGAGCAGCTGAGATTGTTAAACATCCTGCCTCTTGCGTTGTTTCTCCAGCTGAACGAGTTACTGATGATGGCGAAATTCATGCATGAAGAAAACGATCACATTATGCTCCCAGCAAAAATTGAAAATCCAGGAAGAACGAAAGAAATGTTCAACCTAAACAAGACCAGAACTGAAAAAGCTAGAGGAGAGTTTACATTCAGGACGTGCCGTCTAATAAACCGACTAAATCAGAAAATTGAATTTCGAGAAATGCGAGGCTTAAAGCGAAGATTGATACAGACGATGTGGAAGTTTTTCGACGATCAATTCTCAGAACAAAACAAGTGCACATGGGTCCTCTTCTGTGACTGCAACATGTGCCGAAATAACTGGACAAAATTTTGAGAACTTTGGGGATATCATCCCATCAGTATCCTACTGAAAATTCACAACAACAACAACAACAACAACAACATACCGCTGAGGAAAAGTTCCCAGAAGAGAGAAACAGAAATTTTTTTTGACCAAATCAAAATTTATAACGATCAAATTATCAAAAATGGTATAAAATTATTGTTCACAACCCAAAGTGAAATTCTTTGTCACGACTGATGCAGAAATTCCAACTCTCGATTCAAAGGCAGCGTCAAAGTGAGCACAGATGTATCAACATCGAACTGTGCCTTGGCTCTCTTCTCGTCTATCGGGTGGGGGAGGGAGAGAGTGAGACGGTGTGATTTAGTTCTGCAGTCGACTAGCTCTGGTTTGACGTCTAGTTCTAAAATTAGTGAAATTTAAGAAACGTATAAATTGTTTCCAATTAACCGCAAAGCAGGAGAATTCTATTTGCGAAAATTGACATTTTCTTTTCTGCTCAGGTTTATATTTATTTTTTCATTTATAATTAGTATTTTTGTCGCTCAGTAAATTGTAAAAGCTAAAATTAGTAAACAAAAAGTTGAAAAAATGTCAATGAACTCAAAGAAATCGAAAAAAAAACGATTTTTAATTTTCAACTTTTGAAGGTCGAAAATAAACCAAACTATACGTGAAAGAATCTTTCAATATTCAATTTTTTTCATAGAACAAATCAATTAAAGAAAACTCAGTCAATAAATTTTTTATTTCGCCGGAAATCTAAAAACTAAAATCCGCGGTCGAACCTAAAAGTCGTTCACATGGTGGGTAGTTTCTTCCCGGTTTTCAAGCCTTTCGCAAACTACCAGCACTGGAGTTCCATGGGGTAATAATCTATTATATATTGTCATTTTATAGTCAGTATCTATAAAATTACAAGAGTAATCGATTATAATCAATCAATAATGGATTATAACCCTAGAATTTTTATATCAAAATAATCCATTATAGCCGGTTATAATTCATTAAAAACGGATTATAATCATTATATTTTTTAATCATTGTAATCCATCATAATCCATCATAAATATAATCGATTATAATGTATTTTTCGAAAAATTATGAATTTTGCAAATTGTTTTCAAAGTTATCTCATTTCTTGTTTCGTGCAACTGCTACGTATTACGTTTCATAATATTTTACTTTTCACATAAGATTTTATTTATTTAAGTTTTCTCTACTTTTTCTATTTTAGGTAAGCTCCATCGCCTCTTTTATCAACACCTTCCCCAGTTTACCCCCCCCCCCCTCCCGCTCTCTATCTTAATTTAACCCCCCTCCCCTCCCCCGCTCCCGTCCAATGGTAAGCAAACTGGGGGGAGGACTGTGATTTGGGGGGGGGGGGGGGGGGTTGGGAGTAAATTTTAGTACACATGGGGGTGGATTTGCAACAATAATGGATTATAATGACAACATTTTAGACAACAATTTTCCATTTTAATCTATTATTATCCATGGAACTCCGGTGCGGGTGACAATCAATTAACCGCATACAAACATGAAGCACGTACATTTTCAAAATTTCGCAAAGAAAAAATTCGAAACCAACTGAGAAAAGAGAAGTACAGATTCATCATAGTTAAATACATTTTTTGCACATATTCTACTACATGTTTAGTAAAATCAAAAAGAATCGTCGATAAAACTTAAGTTTTTGGATGACTGCAACGACAAGAAAATAAACCAAATTGCGAAACAACATTTTTGATACTTTAAAAATTCCCTTGATACTTAAGGCAAAACGTAAAAAGGACAATAAATTATCTATATACAGAGTTTCTGCTTGAATGCGTACCTATATCTTTGGCGGTTGAAACATCCAGCCATATTTTGAGAATCAAGTTATCAGCACACGCAGTCGAAGGAGTTTTGTACCTAAACATAAAATTAAAAAAATAGATTCATTTCATTATCGTTAAATCTAAAAACACTAAATTTCAATGGCAAAAATGATGGTTGGATCAACTAAAAATCTAGAATGTTTGCGCGGATGAAGAGTTTTCTATGGAAAAAATATTTAGTGCGGTGGTCAGTAGCGGATTTACGAAGGCGCGGGGGCGGACGCCTCCTCAGGGATTCGACCCCCTGCCGACCCAAAGGGTCCCCCCTTTCTACTATTTTGAAATATCCATATTTGGTGACGGACCCTAAAAATTTTCTAAAGGTGCCTTCGGCGCCAATCTATACTAATTTTGAGGGGGGCGCCAAAAATTTGGTCAAATTACGGTCTTTTTAGTGGTTTGGGAGAGCTCAGAAAATCAATTTGGTCAACCTTGAAAATTCGCCCCCCCCCCCCTTCGAGAAAATCTAAGGGCTCTTTTCCAGTTCCCCCCCCCCCTTTGTTAAATTACTAAAAGAGATGTTCAAAAATTGTTCACACGGCAATTTTCATGTTAGAAATGTAGTGAAAATTTGTTCAGCTGTTCACGCTGACACGTTTTATTGCAGTTTATAACATTAAAAATTATTTTAAAAAGACTTTCATGTAATGAATTACTGAAAAAATGAAAGGGGGGGGGGAAACTGGAAAAGAGCCAATCTTAGATCCACCCCTGGCGTTGGTTTTTTAGGGATAAGATTTTTTAGGAATAAGATTACAACTAAGACCAGATCAGCCATGTATTATAGCCCCACGCAAAACTAAATCCAATCAAGATTAAAACTTGGGTTTCTTTGTTATGCGACCCAAACTATCAAATTGTTAATTGAGCTTCTGTTTTTATTGAAAACTAAGATTTTCCCCCTGATATTTATTTCAACCAATAAGATTCTAGTTTCATGATCAAACTTTCAAACTAGCAAAAAGATCTATATTTTTAGTCCATATAACAGAAAAGACCATAATATTTAGTTCAAGTCTTCTTTCTAACCCCATCTGGAGAAACATGTCTTCACTGGAAACATTCTGGCTGTAGTTCAGGTCATACTCCGGCTGTGCTCTGGGGTCATCCAAGTCCACCACTGGCTTCTCATCCACCTCTGTCTCGTCCCAGATGTCATTCGGATCTTTTTCAACTGGCTTCGCTGGGTTTAAATTGGCACCTGAAGAAAACACACATTGCTGTTTGTTTGAAATCTTTATACTTGATAACTGACTGTTACTTCAGTTTGATGACAAGTAGATTTTGGGCTCATTTTCCTAACCCCCCAACTCATATGAGCATCAATTTTATGGTCTAACGAGTGATTTTACAAGGTTAACTTTGAATACCAAATATGTTTGTCATGGCCTAACTCATTAGCATGTCAATTTTCATGACAATCGGACAATGCGAACAGTAATTTTAATTATAAAAAATTGCAGGTGGGGGGGAAAAGGAAAAAGAGCCAGATTTTGGAATTAAAAGACAAAAAATATCTGGAAAAATGATTTAAAAGATTTAAATTATTTCATCTTGTAAGAACGCGGTTGGGCTCTTTTTCCTTCCCCCCCCCCCCACCTGCAAACTTTTGTAAGTAAAATTTTTGTTCACATTGGCCAATTGTCATGAAAATTGGGCTCTTTCCAGTTTCCACCCCCCTTTCAAATTCAATTTTGAAAAGTTTATTTAACGTTGTCATAATGCAATGAAATTTGGCGTGGTGAACAAATCGACAATTTTGAACAGATTTGTTCTTCATATTTTACAGCGTAACATCACGCATTTAGCCGTAATAACACGTAAAACAAACATAAAACGCGGTATTTTGAAAGGGGGGACTGGAAAAGAGCCGAAAATTGACATGCAGACTGATTATGCCATGGCGAACATATTTGGTCTTCATAATTAACCTCGTAAAACCACTCGGTAAATCACTTCATAAAACCTCATAAAATGGATGGTCGTGTGATGTGGGGGGGGGGGGGGGGGGAGGAAGAAGAGCCCGGGGTTGTGCAATTAAAGTAACCCTTGTATACAAACAAGTACAAAATAGATTGGAAGTGAGTCTATCTCATCTGATCCATAGTCAGTTAGGGTCATTCATACTATAGCCCCCCACCAGCTAACACACCTGACTATGTTGATCTCAGTTGCGTGTTAACGGAGAGTTTTCGTTTATCAGTTTTTCGGTTCTCATCTTAGACACTTTTTAACGCTCTGCATTGATGAAAAGTTTCCATCCCTTTGTTCAGGGCGGATCTAGGATTTTCTTGAGGGGGCGGATTTTCAGAAAAAAAAAATCCAGGTCAACCAAATTGATTTTCTGAGCTCTCCCAAAGCACTACAAAGACCCTGTTTTGGCCAAAATTTCTGCACCGCAGGCAAAAATTTGAAAAAACAGGCCGAGAAAGGCAATTTTAGGCACTTTTTGGAAAATGTTTACCAAAAAAATCGCGTTTTTTCGGCGCCTTTTTGATAATCTTGATAATCTATCAAGCCAAACTAATTTGTATATGTACAATTTCATACAATTCTTGGTTATAAGTTTCTGTCTTGAAAATAAAAAATGTTATTAAATATTTTAGTACTGACTTGTTTTGCTACTGTTTGCTCCAATGGAACCGGGAGTGGCTTTGGCCTGTTTGATCACACCTGTGTCCAGTTCATCGTCCGATGAGTCATTAGTCTCATCTGGGTCTTTGAGCAGGTCTTGCAGTTGGGTTATACTGTACATGGATGTGGCGTCCATCAGTTATTACTTATATCCAATAAAAGAATAACCAGTGCACTAATTAAACCAATTTAATTAAGTATCGTAAGGCTGAAGCACAAAATTTGCTTATTTTGCTTGTTTTTGCTTATATTTAGCTTCTTACTGCATCAGCAAAAAAATTTTTGCTCCAAATTAAAACATAACCAAAACAATTATTCAAAATTTTATTATGAACCTTTTTCAAACGTAAGTTCTGCTGATAAAATTTATCGATGGTTAAACTGATATAAAACATAAAACAGACGACTATTAGTCACTGCAATGCATAAACAAGATGTGCGCAGTTTTACATTTACAATCAAAAATAAGCCTACCAAAAGTATCACGTGCCTTTTATGTTTCGTCAGATGATTGAGCGTTTAGTTTTTTTTTGGAAGTTCCCAGTTGACGTGTTTCCTTTCACTCGACTACCTTTTTCAGACACGTTTTTAAATCAACACGAGTTTCCTGATGGTTGCTGTGATATCAAAATGAATAAGAAAATGATTTCTTTTTAGTTTTCCGGAATTTCAAATACAAATTTTTGTCACTTTTTCAAATTAAGAAGTTATGGCTTGTTTCCAATTTCCTTCCCCATTTCATAATTTCCACGTTCAATGTAATTGTAACACGCTATAATGCCTCTTTTCCAGTTTCCCCCTTTGATTTTTTTCTGAAATTCACTTCATGAAAGTCTATTTAAAATGAATTTTCATGAAATGAACTGCATCAAAACGTGTCAGCGTGAACAGGTGAACAATTGTTTACTACATTTCCTACATGAAAAAAGCCATGTGAATACTTTTTGAACAGATTTGTTTTGTTATTTTACGAGGGGGTGGGAAACTGGAAAAGAGATGCTATAATAGCTAAATTCGTTAGTTTTAGCTGGAAAGTATGAAGATCAAATGAGCTCAAAATCGTTAATTTGTTCACAATGAACAGTTTAATATCATATGAAATTAGTGTTTTGAAATTGGAATTCGAAAATTGGACATAGGCAAAGCCAAGCGTCGAAACACTTGCGCTACAACTCAAGCTCAGCAATGCAAATAAGCGAACAAAAGAAACAGAAATCACTGCGTCGAGAAAAATTGAATGTTTTTGTTTTAGTGTTTGAAAAACTCAATTTCAGAAACAGCCGCGAAACACAACATCCAGCGCTAAAAAATGTTCATTTATCGAGTCGCTACTAGGCCGACATATTACAGCAGGCGTCCGTACTGAGGTAGCCGAAAACAAATAAGGGCCATAAAAATTGTTGACATATGTTAAGTTTCAAACTTGCAGCTTTTTTTCCTTCAACAACCTTAAAAGTCACTTATGCTCTGCAAACTTGGTAAAGTAAAATAACTAAAACAAAAAAAACTAAGCCAAAATCATCTGATCGAGAAAAAAAACTAAAACAAAAGTATTCAAAACCAAATTTTGTGAATTAACGAATAACACAACGACTATCAATTATAAAACTATATGTTCAAATCAGAAAAAAAAAATCCCAAGCTTTGTACACCGCGTTCCCCACATCACATTGATTAGAATTTGCGTTGCTTACCCAGTTTCAAATTTTGACCAATATATATAACATCAAAACCAGCTTTTCAGAGAATGAAACGGGGCAATACAGCATATCCGAACAAAAAATGTTCAACAGTTCCAAAAAATGATGATTTTTGGCACTGTTGAACAACATTTTTTCGGCATTGCTGTACGGCTCTTAGAAGGGCTCTGTGTAGTGTCGAAGCAAATCAGTGCCGAACAGCAATAAGTTATTCAACAGTGCTGAAATCTTGAACTTTCGGCACTGTTAAACATTTTTCAGTTTCGCCCCTGTTGTACTTCAACACTGTTGATCTCCCCCTTTTCTCTATAAACGTCCGAGTAAAATCAACAATTACAATGTAAAATTATTGTTAAAGAGTTGCAAAGCGGAACTTTGCAACACTTGCGCACTTGCGATGCAAATCACACATAGCGGTACAAAGTAGCCGATGAAAAAAAAAGAAGAAAAAAAGTTCTGAAAAATTGTTCGAAAAATTTACTTGATAAACTAACTAGACAACAGTTGAAAAATTACCGCAAGAGAAAACTCATATCATGAACAGCTCTTGAAAAATAGAAAGCATCTAACGAGCGACAACAAAGTTGAGAAAATTTGGGCTGAAACCTGTTGAGCCTAAGAAAAACGAAAAAAAAAAGAAAAAACTGCAGATCAGACATGGTAAATTTAAAAAATTGTGAAACTCAGTTCTCAGTTATAGTAAAAACAGTTTAAATTGGAACAGAAGCTATGCTTTAAAAAGTAAACCAATAACAACTCTACCAGATAAAAAAGGGCGTTTAAAAAAACGGATAATGAACCGAAAGAAAATAGGAAGAAAACCGCGAAACCGAAAAAAATAATAAGAAATTTTTTTCAAAGATAATTAGAACTGAAACGTACTTGAACTATTTTCTACTTAAATGATAGTAGTTTTAATTAAAAATGTAAGATGAAAGATCCTGTAGAAGTGAAGATCCTCTAGAGGAAGTGAAGATTTTGTGGACAAGGTTGTTAACGGGAAAAAAGGACATGTACCCGATTGTAATACCCTTGCTTATTGCAAGGGGTAAATATCATGAGGAAAGCTTCTTAGATACATAGGAAGCAAACAGTGTGAGAGTCAAAAATAACACAGAAGCGAAGTTGCGCCTTGCAAACACTACCGATAACACGACAAAGAAGCTTTATAAAGTGAAATAAGAAAAATAAAAATAGGCCTCGAATGACTAAAATTTTGCAACGTAATTGGATTCGAAACTGCGCCCCCAAGGTTTGGAATCGCCCGCCTTGCCTGCTCGCACTAGAACGCTTAAGAATTGACAAACACTAGTCGCAAATAAAGCAGCTACATATTCTCACCTATTGCCAATGCAATGCAGCAGAGTGGCACCAAACACAAGTAGACAGATCTTTGCAGGTAATAATTTGGAATATAACAAAGTGAAGGCATCGACGCTAAATTTGCATGGAATAAATTGGAAAGAATAAAGCCAAACTATGTATAAATTATGCTTACTAAAATGTTGCGAGATATATTGAGTTGAAAAATTTCTGAAATCTAGTTTTTTTTATTGTGCTGATATTTGAAGCAATTAGCAGACGCATTTTAACTAGTATACGAAAAATTTCATTCAAAACATCCGACCCTGCCCAGGTTCCAACGCTCTTATTTTGTTGCGGGCCTCCTTGCTTACCTCTACGCTACAGATCCATGATACTTTGAAGCTAAAGTGCTATTTGTAATATAATACTCGGTGTTAATATCCTTAGCATTGGCAGTACTCAATAGCTGGTTATTGATCAAAATGAACACTTTCAAAATGAACATTTTTGTCGCAACAATATTTGCGTCGCAACAATATTTGCGAGTTAGGTTGGAAAAAAAGAAAGTTCATACAATGACACAAGCTTTGCTTATGTAATGAAAAAAAAATTGAACATTACGTTTCTTGAGGCTCAACCTAGAGAAAAATTGAAGTGTGTTTTTCTATATCGACACAGGAGCATTAACTTTTTTGTTGAAACAACCTTGTTTCATACACAAAAAGCTTGATTCGAGTATTAAACTGGGATGATTCGCTCGGTATTCTTTAATTCTCTATTAAACAAGAGGTGTCCTAGTTAGATGAGTCGTGGTCTTTATATGATCAAACCAAGGTTGGCGATGATTTGTGCGCTGCATTTTATACTTTGATTAATCTATAGAAACCATGATTGGCTTAGTTTCCATTGAAGTTGTCATCATGGCTTTAACAGCAAACAGACAAGTCATTTTTTAGTTTCTCTGAAACTTGTTAAACAGATGGCGTAATAAATTGAGCTTGAGTTGCTGAAGTTTCTTTTAAGAAAATAAGTCAAGAAGTTTCTTTCATTGCTTCAATTAAAACTGTCAAAAAGCTTCAATTAAAACTTCAATTAAAACTTCTAAAAGATTTCTTCGAACTTACTGCAACCATTGAATATTAGGTGAGACAAACACCTGTGAATATACCTGATAGATAAATTTTCCCGTGCTCGTTGCTTGAGGGTGAGGCAACATTACCCAGCCCAGAAAAATAACCAAAAAAATTGCATGTAGTTCTTAAGCAGGGGCACAACAGCGGTTCGCCGTGATGAGCTGTACAGCTCGTATGTTGGTCCTATCCCTCGTGGATAAATGATCTTAACTTCGGGCGAATAAAGAATTCTGCTAGAAGTTGTCTGCAACTTTTTTCCTGAAACAAACTTACCGGTTTTACTTCTAATAAAACATTGCCATTTAGCACCTAGCTCTCTGTAAATGCAGTTGGGGGCACTTTTGAATAATTCAGACCAAAAAAGTTTTTGAGTGCACTCTACACTCAAAATGAGTAATTATTCGCTTTGAAAATAGCGATTAGAAAAACTTTGGTGCTTTGTATTTCAAGAACAGATGCTAAGAGAAAAACAAGGAGATGAAAGCTTTGATGGTGCGGGAACAACCTCCAAAAACCAGGTCCCATCCTTAACCTTTCATCATTTATGCAAAAGCTACCTTAAACTAATTCATTTTTTGAGATTTGCGAAAAAATTTCTTCATATTTAGGACATCAGGTAATCAAAGATTAATCGCTCCCAATGATTATGGATAATAATATTCATCCTGAGTACTATCGACAGAGGGTACAAGTATGATAGTTCGGTCCCAGGAAGTAAACTGCGTGAACAGAGTGGAATCAGACACTTTGTACCGTCGTGGGTTAAGTTCAAATACAATGATAATGAATCAAACATCAGATCCCGTATCCAATGTGCTATTCCGGTGTACGGATGTGCAAGTTTCAATGCATTGCCGCCAATCTTAATATTGCAGAAAAACGTTAGGCTAAGGTGTTTTCGCAATTTCCTCGACAGTGTTTCAGATGTCTTCCTTTCTAGAATCTAACTTTTGATTCTTCAACTTAGATTCTATTTTAAGAGCAAGAAATAATTGGTTGGCAAAATTTTGCCTCAGATGCAAACATATATGATGAGCAATGTTAATTCTTAGAAGCTTTATCATATTTACGAGACTTATTTTTGCTAAATTTATTGTTTCGTTTAAATTCCTGTAGATTACTGTTTATCTATTCGTTTTAGAAAGCTTCCTCACACAAAATTGAGAAGTTAAGGTTGTTACCAATAGTGTTTCAAAAATTGATGCTGAGCCTTTACTGCCTACCTATTGTAAAAAAAATTATAATACTTATTGTGATGTGGACGAAGATTATGATGACGAAGCGTCACTGGAGTTCAAGCTCGTATCACAACACGAGTCTGAATTAGACTGGATATCCGCAAGGATTGAAACACAGGCCGGATTTTTGCGACTCAACTCGTGCGCTATCTCGATCAGGTCTTCACGGCCCAGTTTAATCAGTGTCCGGTACAAATGGCGGCAGAATCTGGGTCTTTCCTAGGCAGTCTTGAGCCAGACGTGTTTGAAGTTGCCAGTGTTGAAGTAGTTCTGAGTTATGGCAACTGATATGTCAAGGTTCAATACTACGTGCCACCAACCTCCTTAAACATGGCTTCAAAATTTACATCCCGACTGAGTTTAACTGAAGCGGAAAACAAAAGTTAATCGATAATTAAGCCCATTATAATTTCATTACTATTCTACCCAGAAAACAGCAGGATTTCAAACCAACCCCCGGATTTAGGGAGGTGGGGGCGGACTCTTTTTTACTTCAGGACTTCGACTCCCTGTCGACACAAAGGACCCCCATTTATACTACTTTGAGATATCCCTTTTTGGCTGACGGACCCTAAAAACTATCTAAAGGTCCTTTGGTGCCAATACATACTAATTTTGAGGAGGGAGCGCGCGCCGAAAAAACGCCATTTTTTGGCCAATATTTTCCAAAATCTTTTTTTGGCTTGTTTTTTTTTGTTTGAAAAGCATTGTTTTTTTGAAAAGCATTGTCTTTTTTGGCTTGTTTTTTGAAAAATTTACCTGCGACGCAGAAAATTTGGTCAAATTAAGGTCTTTATAAGGATTCGGGAGAGCTCAGAAAATCAATTTGGTTGACGAAAAAAAAGTCGAGCAAATTGAAAATCCTTTTCTCCCTCGAGAAAATCCATCCTAGATCCGCGCCTGTTTGAAACGGTCAAATGAAACAGATAAGTGCGCCAGACATTAAAAAAGCTTCAAGAAATCCTCAACTAAAAACATAGCCAGTAGAGATTTGAAAAAGATTGAATGAACGCAAGGAAAAACGAAAAAATATATATTGACTTGTTTTTTGAAAAAACTTGAATTTTCTAATTTCGAAGGAAAAAATTAATGGACTATAAATCGTGTGGATTTTTCTGAAAATTTTTCGATTTACACTTCCATTTTCGGCAAATAATCAATTTGAGAAAATTGTATCAGTAGGTAACTTTTTTATTCCGCTGGGAAGTCAATTAATAAAAAATTAAGTTTATTAAAATAATAACAGTTTTTCGTGACCTTCATCACGACCTACATTAAAGTCGTCAACTACGTTCATTGAATCTTTCAACAAGATTTAGGGAGGTGTGGGCCGACTCTTTTTTACTTCAGGACTTCGACTCCCTGACGACCCAAAGGACCCCCATTTATACTATTTTGAGATATCCCTTTTTGGCTGACGGACCCTAAAAATTATCTAAAGGTCCTTTGGTGCCAATACATACTAATTTTGAGGAGGGAGCGCGCGCCGAAAAAACGCGATTTTTTGGCCAATATTTTCCAAAATCTTTTTTTGGCTTGTTTTTTTTTGAAAAGCATTGTTTTTTTGAAAAGCATTGTCTTTTTTGGCTTGTTTTTTGAAAAATTTACCTGCGACGCAAAAAATTTGGTCAAATTAAGGTCTTTATAAGGATTCGGAAGAGCTCAGAAAATCAATTTGGTTGACGAAAAAGAAGTCGAGCAAATTGAAAATCCCCTTCTCACTCGAGAAAATCCATCCTAGATCCGCGCCTGTTTGAAACGGTCAATTGAAACAGATAAGTGCGCCAGATATTAAAAAAGCTTCAAGAAATCCTCAACTAAAACATAGCCAGTAGAGATTTGAAAAAGATTGAATGAACGCAAGAAAAAAACGAAAAAATATATATTGACTTGTTTTTTGAAAAAACTTGAATTTTCTAATTTCGAAGGAAAAAATTAATGGACTATAAATCGTGTGGAGTTTTCTGAAAACTTTTCGATTTACACTTCCATTTTCGGCAAATAACCAATTTGAGAAAATTGTATCAGTAGGTAACTTTTTTATTCCGCTGGGAAGTCAATTAATAAAAAATTAATTTTATTAAAATAATAACAGTTTTTCGTGACCTTCATCACGACCTACATAAAAGTCGTCCACTACGTTCATTGAATCTTCCAACAAAATCTCCACAAAAAGAAACACTTAAGAAAAAATCCTTAGAGATTACCATCGTCTGACAACACTACTAATTTAATCTCACTCAAACTACAGTCGTGTTCTCTCAAGTTGTTACACTTTGTTTTTTGTTCATATTTTCAACCAAGTTTATTGCATTAAATGGGCAATATCTTTTGATTAAATTAACCCAGCGTCGCGATGCTTGGCAAGTAGATTACACTTGCATTTTCACACGATACTATGTCCGGATGAAAGTTTGTTTACAATGTTTGTTCACAATGGTGTGAACATTTATTGTATTATTTTCTGATGGCACAGAAAACCCCAATTCTGTTAAGAAATCGGATTATACAGCTGAAAAAAATGGCCAGAAGCAAAGCCACATTGCCAATGCCTTAGGGATTTCTCGTATGACTGCACAGAATCCTCAAATTGTATGAAGCAGAGGGATCAGCTGCAAAAAAAATTAAGAAGAAAAGTTTTACCTTTCGCGAAAAACCGAAATAGATCAGTTCGAGAGATCACAGGACATTTTAATCAAGGTCAGGACAAGAAAAGGTGTATATCCTTTGTATTCAAACAAATTAAACTGCTTGGCGCGTCAAAAGTTGTCCAGAAAAAGCAAATGATTATAAGGAAATATAACGAACTTCGTCGTAGAAAGTGGGCTCGTGAACCAAAATCTTGGAATTTTCTAGACTGGCGAAAATATATTTTTTCAGACGAGTGCAAGATCGAAGTGAACACAAATAAGAAGACTTTAGTCTGGAAATTCAAGGCGGATCCTGCATGGATGAATCCCCAGGAAAAGAAATCAAAACGCATTTTTTCCGTAATTATTTGGGGTTGCGTGACCTACCACGGATTTCGCAAATTAGAGAAGATTAATGGAACTTTCAACAGCAAAAAATACAAGGAAATACTAGAGCGAAATCTGCTGGATGTTATCAACAGCTTTCACGGAGACGAGTATGTATTCCAACAGGACAACGATCCCTGCCATGTTTCAAATTTAATGAATACGTTTTTCACAGAAAAAGACATCGTAACGACTACATGGCCCCCTCAATCACCCGACATTAATATCATCGAAAACCTGTGGAAGATGCTGAAGAAATCTCTAAAAGATAGCAATATCGAATTTCGATCTAGAGACCAGTTGTATGAAGAAATAGAAAAACACTGGAATCTGATTACTCAAGATGCCATTAACAAACTGTACGATTGCTTGCCTCGGCGAATGGCTGAAGTATTGAACATGAGGGGTGAAATAATCAAGTATTAGACCTTTTCGATGTGTACATTGTGTTTTTTTTTGTCGCATAAGTGTAACAACTTGAGAGAACACGACTGCAGGTTGTGTTTTTCCGGTGGATAGTTCTCTTTCATACTTCTCTTTCATCGCAGAGCTTTTCTCAAACTGAACTGTTTTAGATAAGTACATATTAGCCAGCTTCTGAAAAATATCCGGAAATCAAATTTCACCGTGTACGTTTGATTCGAAACTCAACGTCGGGCTGGACTTATGATTCGGAGGTTCCATGAGTCGTGAAAAACATTGCATCGAATTTGGCTTGAGATTAGACTTGGAGAACTAGCCTGGTATGAATACCGTTTCCCCAGGGAGCTGTACGAACTCTATGGGTCTCCATTTGGCTGGCCAGGCGGCACTGGTTACTCTGGGATGTACGAAACGGAACCACGTCACCGCCTCGGCCTCTTGTTTCCCACAGTTGTCACTATACTAAACAGCCCAGCAACACCGTCCTCGTAAAAATTATAACCACAAAACTTGTTTTAGAAAATTTCACGTGACAGATGTCTCAAACCAAACATAGACAATCTGGGAAAGCACAGGAAAGATATATCAATATTGTATTTTCAACGCAAAGAGAAGCAACCGCTCATGCTTGAGGCTCCAATTTAGACTTAATTCTTGTTTTCTTTCGTCAAAACAGCCCTTATTAAGAAAGCTTGTGGCTCAATGGCTTCCTCAAGTATCAATCATGCGCATGAAAATTGATCAGTTAAATTACCAAATATTGGAATCTACTTGTGGTTTTAAAAGATGTCCGGGCACTTCGTTCGGCAGCAGACACCACCGCTTGGCTCCTCGGACCAAAGAGTTCCAGGCAGAAGTGGCCAGACGGTCAATGTGGATTCCAGTGCCAGATCTCGGAGGACCAATCACTATCCACCTGCAATTCAAGCAAAAATAATTTGCTAATAGTAAAACAGAGGAGTATAAACAGGCAGTACCGAATTTAAGAATGGGGTTAATTGATCCTTTCAATGCCAAAAGCTCACTCTTTTTGATCTTTTTGATCATTAAAAAAATAGATAAAATAGGGTCTCTTTTCTATACTGTTTTGAAAGCTCGGAAAAACTATTTGGTCGACATAGAGAAAAGACAACAAAACTATCAAATGCTTTTATATAACCGCAAATGGAGACAAGACTGCTCGTATCGGGGTGAAGTCCTGAATGTTCCGACTGCCTTTTAAGGTCTATGGAGCAGTAACGTCATGAAAAATTTAAATGTAATGAAATAAAATAAAAATATTTTAAAAAAAAAATTTTTGAGGAAATATCCCCCCACGCGTCATAATAAGTACAAAGTGACAGATTTTGCTCCTATTAACAAATCAATTATAGCATATAAGCTTCCTTCAACCAATTTGGAACGATTTCTATGACTGATTAAATCTCCACTTATATTTCGCGCGTTAATTGTCCCAAATTGGCCAAAATGGTAATCTTTAAACCCCCATAACTTTACGAAAAAAAATCACAGGTGAAATATCTTTTCAAATTTAAGCTCAAGACAACAATACCTTTTGAATGATTAAAAAAACTTCCGTCAAAAGTTGCTAGTTAAAAAGTCGAAATTTGTCTGAAGAAAAAAAACCCACCCCGAGCATAAACAATCCGTTACTTTCGTTACGAAAATCGGAACAAAAAAGATGCCTGTAGATACGCGCCTGCACATCAGCCAATGTTCAGAACAGATACCATAAAACACAAACGAAAGAAAAACTATCATTCGAGTAACACGAAGCTAGTGCAAATATAGCGAACAAACAGTTGGACAGAGTCAAGGAACGCAAGAATACAGAAAAAACATTATTGGCTTACATGTCTTTCGAACTTCAATTTTTGAATTTTAAAACAATATACATGGCCCTAAAACTTCTTCAACTTTAAGAATAAATTTGACAATTTTTTGATAAAATTAACTCAATTTGAGAAAACTGGATCAATATATAAAGTTTTTATTCCGCTGGGTTATCTGAAAATTAAAGTCGAAATTAAAAACGATCACGTTTTTCGTAATCTTTAGTTTTCGCTGTTCGGCAGTGGAAATTGCCTTCCTCTTAACAAAAGAAATGAACTAAATTTTAAAAAAATCTCAAGTCAATTCGCGAACAAATTTTATGACTTTTCCTGAAAACAAAAAACATCACATACATAAGAGTCTGAACTACGCTCATCGACTCTTAACTATTAACAAGAACTCAAATGTCTGAAACTGCATCAATTCAGTAATAATTCCGCGAAACGTTGGGCACCGAAACGACAAAGTTTTTATTGGCTGGTTTATAAACTCTTTATAAACGCTCATTTAAGGTTCGCACAAAACTTGACTGTTCTAAAATGCGCAAATCCCTAAAAATACTGGCTTAAAGATCTCTTTTATCTCAGAAATAAGACCCTTAAAAATCGACAGCGCAAAAATTGACTTTCTGTACTTTCAGAAAACCCAATATATAATAAATTCAATATTTTTTTCCAGGATAATCATTATTTTATAGATCAGACTCTTGCTTAATTTACTTATTCGTTCTTAATCATTTATACGTATGCTTAATAACATCTGCTGCCATCAACTGTTTAATCTAGCGTAACTAATTAATGAACAACAATTCATTTTTTTTGAAATATTTGAAAAAATCATAGAACTTTTTTTGAAGCAATAAAATCCATTATAATCGATTATAATCAACTATATTTTTTGAAAGTTTAAACCAATTATAATCCAAAATTACTCATTTTTGCATTCTTTCAGTGCGATCTTTGAATAGTGCAAGCTCAAAGAAATAAAAAATGCTCAAACCCCAAAACTACTGGCTAAAAGATCTCTTTTACCTCAGACATAAAACCATAAAAAGCCGAAAGCACAAAAATTTGACTTTCTGTAATTTCAAAAAAAAGTCAATATATAATAAATTCAAATTTTTTTCCAGGATAATCATTATTTTATGAATCAGATTCTTGTTTAATTTACTGATTTGTTCTCAATAATTTGTACCTATGCTTAATAACACCTGCTGCCAACAATCATTTATTCTAGCTTAGTTACGCTAGATTAAATGATTGATGGCAGCAGATGTTATCAAGCATACGTTATTATCAAGCATACGCAAAAATTATTGAGAACAAATAAGTACACTAAACAAGAATCTGATGCATAAAATAATGATTATCCTTGAAAAAAAAATGAATTTATTTATTGACTTTTTTGAAATTACATGAAGTCCATTTTTTCATGAACAGCAATCAGATTTTATAAAATATGGAAAATGTCATGTCTCAAAAGCCGAAAAAGAATCTGAGCTGTCATAATCATAGGCCTGTTTCGCAAACCCTGGGGTACCCTGTGAAAGCACATTAACTTAACGCTAAGAACTTCATTAAAAAAACATGCAAAATGACATAACTCAGCAATCCTAATTAAAGTTCACATCCGCAACCTCTGGGAGTACGCTAACAAAAGCCGAAAGTAAGCTTGATAGTTTCAAATTTAAAAAATTTGTTTTTTATAACATGAATTTTTTTGAAAAGTTTTGACAAAATCATAAAAACATATCGGAATCAAAAGAAAGTTTGAGCAATCATATGTGAAACCACTTAAGTACCCGGGGCATAAAGTTGAGAATTTCAAAAAATGTGAAATAAACCGATAAATCGTTTTTTAAGTTTGCGTTGCGAAAAAAGGGAAAAGTACTGTAGGGTTCAGGCATTGAAATCTTTTAAGTTGATATCAATTTTCGATGCAATATATGCTCCTAACAGTCGAACATTACACGTGTAATAAATTAACCTATAGGGCGGTCGCTTTCCCTCTCTTGTGTGTTGGAACAGATCTTCTCGGAACAAATTGGGCACATTATAAAAATTCAGCAGCTTCTTCCGCTTCGGATCTTCTCCGAAGTTGGAATCAAGCACGCAAAGTGGAGAATCATCCCGAGTGGAAACCATGTATTGGAGGTAGTACTTCAATTTGATTTTTACGGGACATCTTTTGTCGTCTTCGCCGCATTTAAACTTCAGTTTGCTGAATTTTCTATAGAGCCAGGCAAGAGTGGACCATTTGGTGTTGCCCTGTGATCAGATCAGTGTATTTTATTCAGCAGCTTTTCAGGAATTCAACTTTTTTCAGATTTCAAGTTTGACCTTAATTATCTTCCGCAAAAAACGTTTATCTTGAACCAGTGTACAAGCGACCCATAAATATTTTGTTATGCTGGTTTCCAAAAAAAAAGGTAGATTGTTTTGCACCAGCCCGTTACACCTAATATAACACTACAATACACTGCCTGATAAGCTGGCCAGTCATCCATTAGATGTGTGAATATTGCAGGCATGCTTGGTTTCTCAAATCTCTCAATGAATTCCAACTCAGTGAGCGCCTTTCCATCAATCCTGTCAATTACATAAGGTCTCGCCTGCATCATTTCTTTCGAAATCTCCACAGGCAATTTGTCAAGTCTGTTTGTGAAGTTTTTCCGAAATTCTTCCAAGTCTAGGGTACAGAACAAGCGCTCTGCGCTGAATAGATCCCCCGTGACGAGCTCTAAAACACAAGGCCAAACAAAGCTATTAGGATTTTTAGGACTACTACATTTAGCCGTTGAGGAACGAGCTGTAAGAAATTTTCAACAAGAAAGTATAAAACCACGAAGCGTACAAATGAATTGTATTTCAATACAAAAACATAGCCAACAGACAGAAAGAAAACAGATTCAACGAACGCTAAGAGACAAAAAATACCGACTTAAAATTTTTTTAATTTCAACTTTTCAACACAGAGGCGAAGTTGCACTTCGCATACAGAAGCAAAAGTATGACCGATAAAGCTACTGGGAAAACTTAATGAGTCAAATTTCGAGTCTACAAAACTTCTCAAAAGACGCACACCAATTATGAGTCTATGTAATTTCTAAGTGACGCAATCCAGTTATGGCGCATTAGCAGTACCAGTCAATTTGAAAACAAAAGAAATTTACCAACTAGCACGCCTCAATTTATAGAGTGACGCATTTTAACTAGTACTAGCGTGTAACGCACCTCCAGTGCTTCAAATTTTTGACAACTCGTGAAAAATTACATATACTGGAAACCACATCTGCAGGCTTTTAGTGTACTCTGACACACCCAATTAAATGTTTGGTAATTTCATATTTGATAATTTTTTTTAATACCTATTTTCGGTCATCTCGAAAACGTCAAATCTCGAAAAGTACAAATATTTGAGTAGTGATACTTGGAGGCAAGATTTACAACTCCTGGGAGTACCCTGGCAGCACCCAATTACAGGGTTGGGATATCTAAACTTTATGAGTTTTTGTAATCTAAGTTACCTGAAAGCTTTGGAAAAATCATAAAAAGCCTCATATCTCGAAAACTACAAGAATTTGAGCAGCAAAATTTGGAGGCAAGATTAGCAGAACCATGAGTTCACAGACAGCACCAAACTAAAGCGTTACGAATTTCAATTTATAAAAAAAAACTCAAAGTTGAATTTTCTGTAAAAAGTTTAGAAATATCACAAAAAAGTCATATCTGCAAAACTACAAAGATTTGTTTGGGTTTTCTGGATTTTTTTATCACAAAAAACGTCATTTCCTTGAAATCACAAAAAACGTCAATTCCTTGAAATGACAAAAAACGTCATATCTCGAAAACTACAACGATTTCAGCCGTCTCATTTGGAGGCAAGAGTCGCATTCCTTGAGAGTACTCTGACAGCACCCAACTGCAAGGTTGGGTTATTCAAGTTTTGTAATTTCTTATGTAATTTGAGTTCTCTGAAAATCTTTGAAAAAAAAATCAAAAAATCGTCGTATCTCGTACACTAAAAAGATTTGAGCATTCTTAATTGGACGTCAAAAATGCAACCACGTTGTGAATTCTGATAGCATCCAACTATAAGGCTGCTTTTTTAAACTGGGCGGAATAACCACTAAAATCAATATGGAAAATCGAAAAAATCTTAACCATTGCAATTTACGATACAGCTTAAACGTGAAATTTTTTTTTCGTTAATTATGCAAAAATATTACGTTGAAAAAGCTCTAAAGCGGCAAGATAGTGAAGATGGCATTTAAAATTATATTAGATAGATATAAAAAGATAGAAAGAACGATCAAAAAAGGATTGAAAAAGAAAGATCGAAAAAGAAGGATAGAAAAAAAACAGATAGAAAAATAAATAGAGAAAAGAGATAGAAAAAAAAGACAGAAAGATCAAAAAACAAGGATCAAAAAAGAAAGATAGAAAAAGAAAGACAGAAAAGTTCAAAAACAAAGATAGAATAATATCGAAAAGGAAGGGTCGAAAAAAATTAAAAAAATAGATCGAAAAAGATGGATCGAAAAAAAAGACAGAAAAAAGATAGAAACTCCAGATAGATAGATTGGAGACAACCGTTTGACAGTAGTACTACTTTGAGCTGAATCGTCGAAGCCAAATTGAAAATTAAAAAATTAGGAGACGGGTAGACAGACAAAACCAAATTAATTTAAAAAGCAGGTACACAGACAGACTTAATTTGACCTCGAAAAAAATAATGAAAAACTAATGACCTTGCGGACAACTACTTGAAAAAATTTCTTAAGCATTGGAATATATGATATAGCTTAATCATGAAAAAATTCTTTCGTTAAACATGCAAAATTATTAAGCTTAAACATGGGAGATAGCTGTCAGTAACACTTATATATAGTAGAGTTAGGTAGATACATAGATAGATAGATAGATAGATAGATAGATAGATAGATAGATAGATAGATAGATAGATAGATAGATAGATAGATAGATAGATAGATAGATAGATATGAAAAAGTTCATTAAAAACATCCGACCCTGCCCATGTGCGAACCCTCTTATTTTGTTGCTGGTCTCCTTGCCTACCTCTACGCTTAAGATCAATGATACCCTGAAGCTAAAATGACATTTGTAATATAATAGTCTGGGTTAATATCCCTAGCATCGGCTGTAATTAATAGCTGGATCAAAGTGATCATTTTCAAAATGAACACAGTTTGTCGCAACAATATTTGCGTCTTAGGTTGAAAAGAAGAGAGTTCATAATATAACACAAGCTATGCTTGTGTAAAGAAGAAACTATATGCAGGTAAAGCTCATTGAGTTTCAAGAATAAATAATCATTGACACTTTTTGATAAAATTAACTCAATTTGAGAAAATTGGATTAATGGGTAATTTTTTAATTCGTTTAAGAAATCTGAAAATCAAAATCTACTTTATAAATTATGATTCGCTCACATTTTTGTGACCTTAACATTTTTGCTGTTCGAAAGTGGATCTTGTCTTCTTTTAACAAAAAAAACGATCTGAACTTACAAAGAAATCAGAATTCAAAAAGCGCGAAATCAAGTTTGAGCGTAAACAAACTTTTTACAATTTTTTTCCTGAAAAAAATCACGAATATAAGAGTAGTTCATTGAGTCTTTTTTGACTAAATTAACATTAAGTTCATGAACATCACAACCCAAAAATACGCTAATTTAGAAAAATTTATTCTGTTCTAGTCTAGCCCTCACATTACTATTCTAAAATTTTTAGCTCACGGCTCTATTTCCTCCTTTTCATTTTGAGCGTTGCTTCCGTTGGGGGATTCGAACCCATGACCTCCTTCCCTTGAAGAGCAGCATTTCTTACCTGATCTAGCTCGGTGTTTTGCATCTCGAATCTTCTTCCTTGCCAATCTTCCTTGACTCTTGATACAGATTCTCTCCTCTTGTTCGAATCTCAGCTTAGATGAAGTTCTGCAATCTGCACGCTGTATTCTCAACTGCGTGAATCCTGAGGTTGTTTTTGAATATCTGCCTACTGACGAATCAGACTAAATAGAGACACAGACACCCTCAAAACACACATAAACAGAAAAATCGATTGTCAAACGGTGCACTAGGAGCAACTAAGCCGATATAATGTAGGCCAAAACCTATCAAGCCGGAAAAAAAAGAGAAAAGAAAAAAAAACAACTAGCAAATCGAGATAAATTACAACCAACAAAAAGAAAAAATCGAATAGAACAGTTGGTTGAAATGCTAACATGCACAAAAAATATCTGCAGAGGTGAACTTCTAGGAACAAAATATAGTACTGCCGATTGCACTACCCTTGCCTATCGCAAAACTTATCAAAAAAAAAAACATAAAAGTTGAGGAAAAAAATTAATGGAAAAAACTGGAGGCACCAAAACTTTCCCAAGTCTCGATAAAAGAAACTGGTGACCCAGCTAAGTCTTGAAGTACCTGTGTAATATTTTTGATGCAATAATATTATACTGATGCGGGATGCAATGGATAAAACCAAAACTTCAAAAATTGGACTTAGCTCAAAACCTTAGTTGTTTCTCTACTAAAATAAGTTTGGAATTTTGCCATCAACATTCCTAACATTCTTTAAAAAACTAACAAATTGCCATTTCTATCGGAACAACTCTCGCAATCGATTTTTTGAGTGGAACCTTCCTTCATCACACATCTCACATTTGATAGGGCAGTTTTTAGGAAAAGTCAAAACTTTCCTAAAGAACGAGCGAAAACTCAAAAACGTGACATTTCAATATCCATAGTTTGTTTTCGCAAAAGTAGGCCGTGACCGCGTAAGCAGTGCCAAAACCAGTTTTCTCGATTGAACATTTAACCTAAAAATTGACAGAGTCGTTTTTGAGAAAACTCAAAAAACTTCCCAAAAACGGACAACGTTTGAGAAGTTTGACATTTTTGAAAGCCATAACAACTTTTTCTTTAAAAAATTGTTTATGCAGTCAGATTTCAAAAACCTGTTGTTTCGATTTAGGATGACAGATTTCAAACACTCAGATTTCATAGGGTAGTCCTTAGGATAAAGCAAATGTTTTTAAAAAACGGTTAAAAAAATCAAATAGCTGACTTTTCCGAGGGCCACTACTCGAGATGAAAAAAATTGGGCTGTTGGTTGTTGAGAAAATATCGGTCAAATAATACCCCGCAGATTTTTCCGAAGGAAAATCAAAATCAGTAAAAGTTCCAACAGTATTAATTAAGCTTTTACTAATTACTGAGCGGCCATAAAGCAAAAAACAACAACTGGGTAGAGCCATTAAATTTTGCAACAAAAACCTCTTGAATTTGGAAAAAAATATAACAATCATTTGCTTGCCTTTTAAGCGACACAAAATAATGTTGCTTAGCCGATAAAACATAGGCCGAAAAAACTTTTAGCGGAAAAAAAAACAAAGAAAAAGCCAATGAAAATTTACAACGTCAAGGCTATTAATTCTACAAATTACAGCAGGAGTAAACTAAAAAGACTTGCATCTACGATGAACATTGTTGAGAGCCGAAGAAAACTCTGATGAGGCAACTAAGCGGACAAAACATAAGCAGACAAACGAAAGTCCAATACTTCAATTTTTCCTGGAACATAACATTGTCAATTTCTTACATACTGAAACGAAACAAATTCCGGCCGTGACTCTAAACCGTGACCGTAGGGTTCAAGAGCAACCGCGTTACCTCCAGGCCAAATGGAGAGGAATCTTTAAGTTGTTGCGGTTCAATAATAAAGCAAGAGCAATTTATTGTTCGAAAAGTTGTTTACGCGAAAAAGTCTTGTTCCCAAATACAATCTGGAAGAAACGCGGATTAAGGAAAGAAACCGGGACAAGGAAAAAAATAAAAACAAAAATTTGAAAATAAGAAACCAAGCCGAAAAGCAAAAATGTCGGTAAATGTGCTGACCCAAATGAGCTACAAAAACTGAAGCGATTAACTATCGGAACAACAACAAAGCTAATAGAGATTTGAACAAGGAAACCGAAAAATGCTTCAACTTTGCAGTTTATAAGAGAAACCATAGAAACATATCCCAAAGCTCTTTGAAGCGGGACCTCAGTTGCATTAATAAAGCGGATATAGTCCATCCCAATCATGTTTGATATCGCCAAATTAAAACGCAACAGCATAAAAAATTGAGCCCTAATGCTAAAAACAAAACTAGCGACTTCGCCTGGAAATACAAAAAAGAAACGATGTTACAAAAAAGTTGCTTGTAAGAAAAAGAAAAAATCTGCGAGCAGTTTCTTTTAAATTTATGAATGCCTTTATAAATTTCTCATTACTTGACAATAGAGATGATTGCTGTTGATGCTTTTTTCTTTATCATTATCGGGGCGCGGAGAATCTTCAATTTTTCGTTGCTTCTTTGCACTGGGCGGGGAAGATCTATTCGGCTCACCCATCCTAAATACCATGCTTGTACAAAAAACTTTAATCTGAAAAACAACTCTGATCAGAAATTATTAAGTACGCAGACCAACCACGCATGAACTTTTTAATTTTATAGCAGCCTTCCCGTGAAATCGTAAAAATCCAATTGAAAATTTGTTTACCGTAAAAAATCCAAATGTCCAAAAAAAGTACTAGAAATCCAATTGAAAACCGCAGTTTATCATTGTGAACTTGCAAAACCTGAAACTATCGCAAAATTAACTTCAAAACATTCTTGTTTTTTATGACCACGCCAAGGGTCGCTTTGCATTTATTCATTACTCCAACGATTCAGCTCAACCAAAAAAATTTTGATCAAATTTGAATGTTTTTTGGCTTGAACAGATTGCAGAAAAAGACAAGGTTTGATTTATTTCAAACTGTTTTCAAAACAATCGAATAAAAAATAATCAACAATTTAAAGCGTCAACTTTTGAGATAGTTTTAGGCTTTTTGGACGGTTTCATGTCGCTTCAAATGCTATGAAACTTTGAAACATGGAGACTAAGCGTAGCTTCCCATCACTTGCGATACATCACAAACATAGAATGGCATTTTAGCCGACGAAATTCTACATGCAAGTGAAAAATTAGGAAAAATATTTTCAAAAATGGTCTACACAAAAGCGAAGCTGATCTTCGCACCACTTGTATTACAAAAATGAATGACTATCGCGAAAAACAGTTTAAATTTAATTATTTAAAAATAATTTAATGAAAACGGGCTCATATTTAATCTACTATGACAAAAATCATACTTTCCGATTGCACTTAAAATTGCGCTTATCACATTCCAGAAGTAATCTTGCAGTGATGAAAGCTTGTAGTTGGAATCGTGAGCGTGAATCCATGGTAGCACATTGCAGAATTCCTCTGACAATTCTTTGTTTTTGTATGATCCGCGCAATTGAAGCCTATTCAGTATATACTTTGCAAAAAAACTGTGAGAAAGGAAGTTATCGAAATCAAACTAGAACAGTAAGTAGAACAGAATGTTCCGACCACATTGATAAACAAAAAAGTGTTTTTTTTTAAATTTAAGGTAGTTTTTATTGAGAGTAATATGATGAAAGCACTACACAAACGCGTAGAAAATTTAAAATTTAGTTATAACTAACGACGAGGTGACTTTAAACAACAATAAACAAACAAAAAATAATACGAAGCAGTTAGACCAAGTGTTCCTAGCCTAAAGGACCGATTTTCATTTAAGAACCGTTACTCGATCATTTCAACCGGTGCATACATTTTGTCTTTCTTTTTTCTGAATATGGAGCTAAGAACAAAACCATGCAATACTTCTACTTCTCATGAAATTTTTTAAAGCTTACCTTGCTTAATTTTTCCGGATAACTTCAAATATTAAAACTGCATTATCGGAACCGATGAATTTGTAACTAACTCGTTGTCTCTCTGCCTGAGAAATTTTGTTTGGATACCGAGCTTGCTTTAATTCCACAAAACCAATCAAATTATGCGACTAACCCCACATAAAACCGTTCACTAGTTTCTCACAAAATAAGTTACCAGATTAAGAGATTTGCGTTCATTTTTTGTGTATGGGTCTAGATTGAATTAACGTCCTTCAGATTCTAGGACCAAAAAAAGGTGTAGCCAGCAGTTTGGCTGCAACTATTGAATAAACTGAAAACGTATTAGCTGCTTGACAGTAAATTCGTAGTGTTACATACAAAACATTCCTCTAAATTTTCAATTGGCTTCTCAAAATCAATGAGATTTAAGTCATAGAAAAGAACAAAAAGTTGTTCTTATTAAAGTTTTTCAATCAATTTGGCATCGGAGTTTTCCACACAAAATCAGGCGGATGCTCTGACGGCCATTTTTTTGTCTTTTTCGGCACCTCCAGAAAGTGATCCTGATAAACATGTTGTCCCGCTTGAGGCCAGGGTTTAACTGGGTACTCTTCTAACAAAGGTATTCTTTCAGGGTTCGATAACTTCTCTGCTAAAAGCGGGTATTCCTCTTTTTCGGTTAAATATGGGTTGAACAAATGACGTGCTGAATCCCGTTCGAGATAAAATCTCTTCGCTAATTTTCGGATATCGTCGCGAATGATTGGTCGGTAGTTTCGCTTTTTGCCCTTGAATTGGTGACCTGTAACACGTCGTGTGGTTAATGGTCCAACCATCCATTTGAAATAGTGTTTTCCTAGACATTCAGTTAGATGCATAGTAGCAGTCAATGCATTTCAATATTCTAAAAAATATTCAACTTGACATTCCAGGAACCCCGAAAATTTAACCAAACGGTTTTAAAATAAGATTCAGTTTTTCTCCTTGCAGAACTTGAGACGCAAAAGTAAAACTATCCAAATTTGAACTATTGAAAATTGAAATGCATAACTTTAATTAATTGTGCTCAGTCAGTTCAAAATTATTAGACCTTTTGTTTCAGCTAATTAGATTCAATTATTGTTCCGATCATTTGAAAGATGCGAACGACCTTAGCATTCGAATGTTTTATAGTTTTCTTTTTTTAGCTTTTTGTTTTCCACGTTAAATCAGGTACCACAAACAATCATCGGAATGAGTCGAGTGATATATCATATTAAAGCTTTTGCAGTCGTGATTCGAACATTTAAAAATTAAAAAAAATCAGTGCCGAGAAAAACCGGTTTGAAATTTTTGATTTTTCGTCTAATTTTGAGCGATTAAAGCGAGCTAGCAGGCTTATTAGAGCAAATTAGTAGTAAAAAAAAACACCAATTTCTTATTCTAGCGCTAAAAAAATAAAGCGAAATTTGATGTCAAATTTTGTTTGGCGCCATCTTGCGAATGAAAGAAACACTTCTAAAATTCAAAAAAAACTCAGCAAAAAAATTGAATAATTTTTTTCAATTTGTCTGACTATTTTGTTTTTATTAGTAACTTTTCGAGGAAAACAGTTTTTTAATATTCCTATTTTAGATTGAATAACAGAAATTTCTAAAGTCTAATCTTTCGTTCAGATCCTTTCATCACGCCACACAAAAAATCAAACTATTTAAAAAAATGTTAAGATTTTTTGAATAATAAAGTCGGAACCTTCTGTTCTACTTGCACAGAAACCGGCTATTCTTGTTTATATTCGTTTTCAATAGAAAATTGTTATTATTATTTTTGGTGGAATAAGTAAGACCCAAATTATTAACCTCCAGCTCCAATGTGTTATGAAATACTGGCCATTTTCATTTTAACACAATATTTCCAGGAGGAAAAAAGAACCAACATAAGAGTTTCTGAGCTCTTAAAATCAACATCCAATCAAAACTTGAGATAAACGTAATCAGAAAACGCAAAAAGGCCCATTTAGTAATAACTATTGAAATTCAACTATTAATTCCAAACACAAAATCAGATATTAAATTTCATCGCAGCAACATTATTTTTTTATTTAAATATTTAATTAATTTTTCATTCACTTAGGAAAACAAAACAACAAAAACACAAGCAAACAAACAATATAAGAAATTTACTGGAAAAATTATAAGTTTCCTTTCCATTTATCTTTGAAGAAATTATTAACATCGCCGATCACAGATCCAAAATTATTGCAACAGCGTATCGATTCTTGCATCCAACTAGGTAATTTATTCTTCACATTTTCTCTCGCAAATCTTTGATCCACTAATAAAACACACGCATAATCATCCTTATGCCTTATTGCTCTTCCTATAGACTGGTTTACCGATTTCATACACAAATTTTCATAATGAGTCTGGCCAAGACCATTCTTAATTTGATTTAAGAAGTTCATTTTCGCATTCAATTCTGGTGACTTGATATTCGGATAGGGCATTCCGATAACAATTACACATCGACCGTAATCGTCACTGAAGTTAATACCTTCGCTCATTTTGCCGCCCATAACTGCAAAAAGAATTGCCCCTTTCTGCGGGTTCAAATCAATTTGCTTCTTGTATTTCTCAAAAACAGTATCACAATCTGCGCTGGCTCGCGACTCCTTGAAAAATGGCTTCCTTTCTATCAGACGGTCCAAAATTTTATCTCGAGTGAGTACTTTTGAGACTTGATTTTCGAAATCATAGGACGGAAAGAACACTACACAGCCGCCTTTAATTCTGGGAATAACATTGAGCAAAAGTCTTCCAAGCTCAACAAAAATAGCTTCATTTTGTCTGTCTTTGTATGAAAATTGTAGTTGTTCGTTAGTTGGTCCTTTTTCCACTATCAGCGTGCGAATTTGAGATTTGTTCACAATATGGCCACATGAAAATAGATGCACTTTTGATTCGTTCACGCCTAGTGCTGAGAAAAGCTGATGTGTGAATTCTTCGAATGGCTGCATGGTACCTAAACACCAGAGAAATATCAAATAGTCGGCAATTATATATTTTTTAAGTTAGTCATATCTCAGTCGCTTTGTTTGCCTGCTTTTCATTGCATATACCAGCTTTCAAACCAAAAATTAACTGACTCTGCTGGTCTACATTTAACTGCTGCATTACACTGAATTCTTCTACTACTTGAACAAAAATGCCACTTTACAGGAGCACTTCAAATAATTTAGCTCAAGTGAAATTAACCACCATTTCAAATTGTAAACAAAACATATCAAAATGACTGACCTCCAGCTAAAATCACAGATCTAGCTTGGGTCACTACATCAGCAAACATATGCGCCGGATTCAAGATGAAACTCTTGACTGAATTATCCGCAACTGACTGCCCACTTTTCTTCACTAGAACCTTACAGTTTAGCTTCTCGTCAGAAATAAGCACTTCTAAAAACGACTTGAATTGATATATTTTGCATTTAGATCCAATCTGTGTTGAGCTGCCATTATGCAAATTCAACGATTCTTCATCTGTTGCTGATTTTTCTGGTTGCGAAGTTTTCTTTTGAGCCTATAACGTAAACAGTGTTCTCTTCACAGAAGCGAAGCGCAAAAAAAACGAAAACTCTACGAACAATTAGTTTTCAATACGAAGTACCAAGAAAGTAGCTTATGCGGAAAAATGGCCATAACCTATATAACTGCTTTCACTGCGCTAATTGCGACCAAACTATTCAAACTACGGCCAAAACTAATGAACTGGTCTGAAACAAAACCAAAGCTACATTACTACCAAAACTAATAAGCATTTGAAAAATCCTTAAGCCATGACTTGAAAAAATTAAATATTTTTCGGAAAATAAAAGCCCCTGACATCATGAGAGGAGCTCACTGCCATCTATGCTTCTGCCTCGTGCTTTACTGTCTGATGTGCTGGATATTTTACAGATAATGATTGGCTTCTAGATAGAGCCCAATCGTGGTGATAGATTTGTTGTGCTCAACCGCGCAAAAAGGAAGAACGATTTTTGCTCCATAGTTCCCATGCTCTGTTTGCTGAAAACTATTTTAAAATTTTTCAGCTTACTGATCAGGCGATTCCCTTTTTGGTTAACTGACCCAGCCCAAACGCTTTCGTTTTTCTGATACATTAATTTACAGCACTACAATCTACTAAAATACTTGCAGAAATAACTGTGAAAAAAACGCTTCTCAGAATTTATAACTCACTTTTTCTTGCGTGATTTGATTTTCCTTGATTTCTTTAATGAATCTTCCTATTGCGTTTCCACTTTCACTCTCAGACTTCGATTTGAGACTAGCATTATTTCCAATTTTTTGATTTGACACTTCATCGATAGTCGGGCAACTTATTGCAAATCCTGAGAGTTTTCTGCAGATTTGGCTTTTCTCAATATAAACTAACAGCTTGTACAGGTTCACGTGATCAAACTCCGCCTTGAACGTGAACGAATTAACTGTTTCCAAATTTGACGAATTTTCAGTTGATTTCATCTGTTTTGGATCTTGGTTCACTTTTCCGCCCAAAAATCTCAAACATTGATTCAAAACAAGCATTAATTGCTTCAAATAAACTAAGTTTTTACTTTTCAATCTAGTTTTGTAACATTGCATATACGCATTCAGTTGTCGATACAGTTGGTAAAAATCAAGCGCATTTAACTCAATGCTTTGGACGCTCGCCAAACTTTCTAATAAATTGTGCGCTTCGTCAATAATAACAACATTTTCCTTTAAACTGATCCCTAAAGCTTCTCGTGTGCTTTTATGTAGCAAAGCTTGATATGGTAAGGCTAATACATGCATGGATTGAGCTGCAAATCGGGTCGCATAATACGGACATGCTGACAGCTCTTCGCCTTTTTTCACTATATCTTCAATATCTGAAGTTTTGGTTGAAATATGCTTTCGCAACGAATCAATTTTACTTGAATTATAGAACTCACACTTTTTTAGACCTGTTGCATTTTTTCTTCGTTTTTTTGCTGGCATCGAATTTTCTATATTATCGGCGTTATCGAAGTCGGACTTCTTGATTTTATCTTTATTAATCATTTCCAAACAGGCTTCATTTATAGCGCTAGAATGTTTCAAGTTCACAATTGATTTATTGATACACAAATTAGCCCGACTCCCCATTCCAATAGCCGTAACATTACTTCCAAATTCTGTTTTATTTAATTCTTTTATAAACTGTGACAACTGAGAATGAGTTCTACTGCAAAACAGTATTTGAGGCAACTGTCGTTTATACGGAGGATCTTCTACTTCTTCGGATCCCAAATCTGGGTTTCGGTATGCATTTTTGTTTGAATTCGTTTCTGAGTCACTGCTGTAATCTTCAGGAGCTAAATCATCTGTTTGTTCATCTCTGAAGTTTTGAGCGTCTTGCAATTCTTTGTCGATATCTGAAAAACATGTAAAAACGTCTACAAATAAACATAGACCAGAGGAACTGAAAACATTCATAACTGAGACTAGAGGCCCAGCTAAAGCTGGAGTGGAGGTACCGGTTTGATAGTTTTTGAATTTGTTGTACTGATGCGAGATGAAATAGGTAATTTCAAAATTTTCGAGAAGTTTCAAAAAATTACAAAAGCGGTCGAAAAACAAAAATTTGACTTTTCCAAAGGCGTCACTTTTTTTCTTACAAAATTTGAGCGTAGCCGTTTATGCCCAGGAGCTTCCCACAACCTTTTCTACTCGTTGAAACCAAAACCTCAGATTTGTGAGGGTAGTTTTTCAGAAAAGTCAAGTTTCAAAAATTGGTCACAAGATTGAAAATTTGACGTTCTGAGGGCCATAACTTGGGCGAAGCCGCTTATGCAGAGGAGCTTCCCACAATCTGTTGCATTCCTTGAACCCAAAATCTTAGCTTTGGGAGGAGACTTTTCGAGAAAAAGTAAAAAAAAATCCGAAAATATGGGTCAAATTCCCCCCCCCCACACACACTTTTTCGAAGGCTGCAGATAGTAGGCTAAGATAAAATGAGATTATGGGAGTATGCAGACACATAGGGCAGAGTATGCAGACATGCATCCAATAAATTCTCATACTAGAGGCCAGCTGAAGCTGGAAAAACCTGTTTGATAATTTGAATTTGGGCGTTACCGCTTATGCAGGGAAGCTCACCACAACACGTCGTTTCGATTAAAACTAAAATCTCAGATTTGTGAAGGTAGTTTGCGAGAAAAGACAAAAAATTTCTCAAAAAACGGCCAAAAAATTGCATATATTTTCATAATACCTGTTTTTACCAAACGAATCGATCTATAGTTAAGGGCACCTTTAAGCAGAACGTTGGGCGTTGTTTGATTTTGAACTGTTTTTAGAATGTTGTAACCGAGCTTTATTATGAACACGGTAAAATTAGAAAGTTGTAACCGGGCTATAAATTCGACACATCGAAACTAGCAAAAGGGTGACCGAAATGAATGTTATAGAGCTACGCTCTGTCTATACATATTAAAAAAATGAAGTAATTTTGTGAATATGAATTCGAGGAGTGCTATCGGCCATGTGATTTTTCAAATTTCGCCAAAGTGACCTGAAAAAAAGGGACAAAAATATAATTCAGTGACTTCTTCGATTCCTTTGCAATTTTAAGGATCTTGTTAACTTCCCCCCCCCCCTTTGGACCTTGTTAACTATTCCCCCTATGCATGTATTATTTCTGACAACAATTTCTGTATAAAAAACATGCATTTCAAAAAAATCAAAAATCAATTGGGATTTCATTTTCGCGCGTTCGTATTTGTCTCACTTACTATTTACATAACAACTACATAAAAAAAATTAATTATATTTACTTTCTGAAAATATTTTTAAGCTATTGAAAATGTGGCTGCCCAAGTTGAATTTCTGAAAATCGAAATAGGGGAGAAATAGTTAACAAGATCCAATTTTAGTTCCATTAGAAGGTTACATAGAAACACAAGCATCAATTTAAACTGAATTATTTCGGGTTAACTTTCAGATTTCAATTACGGCCCCTTTTAATCAATAGTACCGGAGTTTTCTGAGCACCAAAATTCAAATAAAAATTGCATTCTAAATAAGTAGCATTTTTCTGTTTAACACGTAATCAATTTTGACTTAGCATCAACTATTCCAACCGTCCTTAACATGCGATAATCATTTTTGCAAAATCAAAAATTTAATAGCCTGCATCAGTAGTTGCGTTATCCTTTTTTCTTCAGGTCGAGAAAACTTGATAGGGTGAGTAAATCTAATATGCTTAATTTGATTTGAGAGATTAGGTACCGATCCAGAAATGACTATACAGCTAGTCTTTAAATTTTGGCGCATCCACCAACCAATCATCGGGAGAAAAAAGCGGAGACAAAGCAAGGTAAACGTCGCTGTTGATCGCTGAGACCAGAAAGAAATTGTGAAGCAAAACAGCAGACATCCAGAGATAACTACTAGAATGAAAAAAGCCAACTTAGTCAGAACAACGCGAACAAATGATAAAAAAAATCTTTATTTTGATCTTACAATTAAAACACTTTCTATCTCCTATGGGTATTAGTGACTTATCCCTTCTACTTCATTTACGGACTAATTGAATTAACGTTAGCACTAAATTCTCCAGTATCAGAGATTTTTTCAAAATGACCTATCAAGACAGTAAGTAACATCAAACAGTTGATTGGATAAGATCGCCACAGACTTCTGCATCCACTGCGAACAACATCGAATGTATCCGCAGCACTATAACAAGCTGAAGTGTTTGGAAACCATCTGTGTTGAGACGTCTCTTCATCAGTGATCAACTTAGTTATCAGACCAATTAGACAAGCAAGAGTCGCAAAGCAACTACTATTCTACTTCAAATCAATATATTTATGATCTCACTCACTTGCAGTTCGTATAAAAAATCGGGGTGATATATTACAATAGGTGGTAGGTTCATTTTGAATAGCTGGATCGCTTTTTGTTATACATTGTTTATAATTTGTTTCAAAAGCCAAATTTTTTGGCAAAAGAAGTGTAAACTTTGAATTTTTGAATAGCATTTCATCCGGCAGAGTAATGTATTTACAAAAACTATCTTAGTAGTAGTATAATTGATTGAAAATGAAATGACTATATTACGCATTAGAGTTCTCAAACTTAATACATGCACTACACTGAAAATTACCAACTATTGTAACAAATTCTTGCCCTATTATAGGCTTATGTATGAATCTGCCATACTCTCGCATATCAATTATTGCCACTATATAACAAATCATCTAACGAGACCAGTCAAAAAATTTTGATATTTGAAGCTTGTTGTTCAATTTTTTCCGAAATCTTTACGTACAGGAGCATTGGCAGATAATATTGATAAGTTCGAATATAATACTTTGCAATGCGATTGAAATACGAACGAAATGTAGATGCATTGAGCACAACCTACTATCTTAAAATTAATTTCACAGGGAACACTAACTCTTTCAAGAAGCGCTTTGAGATTCTACCAACCCAACCGAAAATATCGACACTTCGCGTTACCGACACTTCGTGAGCAAAATCAAAAAGACAATAGGGGAGCAGTGGTGAAGTGGTTACGCCTCTGCCTCTCAATCGAAAGGTCGGATGTTCGAGGCTCACCATGACCCGTGCTCGTTGCTTGAGGGTGAGGCAACATTACCCAGCCCAGAAAAATAACCAACAAAATTGCATGTAGTTCTTAAGCAGGGCACAACAGCGGTTCGCCGTGATGAGCTGTACAGCTCGTAGGTTGGTCCTATCCCTCGTGGATGAATGATCTTAATAATTTAGACATATTTAAGGCACAGAAAATAAACACTCTAGAGGATATATTGGGCGACATTATGATAGCCATAGGGCGACAAGTTCTCGAAGCATTTGTCAACACAGAGAAGATACAACGTAAGCGATACAATGAGACGGAAATAAAAAAAATCGGAAAAAAATGAGAAAATGAAAATTTGAAAACCAGAAGAAACACAAAAAACAGCATTATTTTATTTTAACATCAAGTTTTTATCGACCGGCCACTAAGCCGACAATCCGTGGGTAGACGTTCATTAAGCCGCAAACTTCAAAAAAGCCATTAGAAATTGTTGCTATAAAAAAACTTCTGAGCAATTAAGTTTTAAAACTTTAATTTTTTGCAACACACTTCAAATTCAAAAAATCATTTTTTGCATTTGAAGCGACACAAAAAAATGAAATTGAGCTAAAACAAATGAGCCGAAACCATTATAGAACGAATAAAGCTTTTAAGCTGAAAAAAAGGAAAACATACAAAATCAGTAAGCCAAAAACACTTGCAACTACGATGAAAATTGCTGACAGCACAAGTTTATTTCCGCAATGTGGCACGTAGGCCGACAAAAGACAAATTGAAGTCGGACAATGTAATTTTCCCAGAACAAAATTCAGTTTCAAACATACTGAAAAAAAACAAGGTAAGACCGAGACTCAAAACCCTAAGGATGCAATGGCAACCAATGTTACCTCTAGGCCAAGTGAGAAGTAGCCTCGAAGTTGCTAAGATTCGCCAATTAAGTAACTTCAAGTTCTTACAGATTTGCAAGAAAAGTTTTTTACGGAAAAAAATCTAGTTCCAGATTATCTTAAATTTAAGATAATCGCAAGTGTAATAAAAATGCAATAGCTGGACCTCCTGCGTCAGCTGTGAAGAACGGAGTAGACGAACGCGCTAATTAATTTCAAAAAAGAAGATATAGCAAGAGCCACCAGGTGTAATGTTGACGACCTTGGTAGGTTCGAAGCAAAAGAACAGTAAATAATTAATATTCATTCCATCAGTGATACACAATCTGGATGTTCGCTTGCATTTGGTTGAGCGAGCACCTGTCTTTTAATAGGCGTTGAAAAAGACTCTATTTCCCATCAATGACAGCCGTACGCACGAATACCAAGCGGGTATAATCATTGCCAAGTTGTGATTACCTCAAAACCCTCCCACGTCAATTAAATCCTCTCTAGCAGATCAGATTTTAATTGCCCTCCCACATATACCCCCACCCCCAAAAAAAAAACCATTATCAAAATTACATTTTCAAAAACCTTCCCAAAACTATCATTAAAATCACCTCAAGCGGATGCCTGAGTATGTTTGTCTTTTTCCCCAAAAAAACTCATTGCCAAGATAAGACTGACCAGAAACAATAAACAAAAACTACCGAAAGTTCCTTAATTGGATGACCATTTGATTCTACTTTTGCATCTATTCGAGCGCATCGGAAGAGATTTTGACAAATAGCGCATTATAGTATGTTCCGACCACAGCAGTTTAATATCAATAAATCAAATCTTGGACATAATTTTCAAAAATATTAGTAAGGGGCAAATGAATTGATTAAAAAGCTACAAAAATCAGAAGGCACAATTGCTAAATGAATGTTAAAAATTCAGTGGTCGGAACAAAAAACTGACGATGATAATTCTTAATTTCTTTCTTCTATTGTTAGATTAAATTAGTTGACCTCTACAGCACAACTGAATTATGCTTTAACTTACCAATGAGGCTAGGATTGCCGTCTTTTTCCAATTCCCTCACATCTTTTTTCTGAACTTGCAATCTTTCTTCTATTTTGTATTTGTTCATACACTCCAAATATTCGTCTATTTTCTTTAGACTGATTTTCAATTCGTTCAACTCAATTTTTAGAGCCTGACTTTCTTGATAATTTTTCATCCAATCAGGTTCGTCGTCGTCATCGGTTTTATTTTCCTTTTCATTGTTTCTTTTTTCTTTCTCAATTTCAGATTCCAATTGATCAATCTTTATTTGCAGATTTTCTATTCTTTGCTTCTCGAAACTCTCAAGCCAAGACAGTGTAGCACAAATTATGCTCAAACTTTTACCAGTTCCTGTTGGTGATTCAAATATACCATGTTTTGACTCGTTTAGCACACGGAAAAGGTCGTTCATAAAGCGTGTCTGAATGTCATATGGCGGAAAAGGGAACTTAAATTCAAACATTTCAGATCTGCAATATAAAAATTCAACTTCCTTATGGGTAAATTTCGAGGCCATTGATTTTAACCAACACAAAGAAAAAATTACAGTCGCTTTCAGCTAATTGAAATTGCAATAAAAGCTCTAGCTAAACTATTAACAATTAGAATAATCAATCGAAAAATAAGATGATAAAAGTTCTTCATTTGGCGCGATGTCTCTTAAGGCATATATTGCCACAACCCTTAGAGGAAATGGTTCCGCATTTGAGTTGAAGTGGACATAAGGCAACATCTAAAACAACCTATAATTTTAGTCCAGTATATTTCTAAATTCACATCTGTGCTTGTTTAGCGCGTTGTCTTTCTTATTTAATCAAATGAATTTTCAAAAGGCTCGAAACGGCCAGAAACAAACAAAAAATAGTCTAACGCACGTAAGTAACAGAAAAGCTCAAAATTCGGCCATTCTGAGAAAAACGTTTCTAACGGAAAAGAGTCAAGTACCCGGTTAGCCAAACTGATTGCAAGGGCAACAAAGTCTTTTTCTCACCCGAAGAAAGGCTGTCGATAGCTCGGATTCATTAAAATCTAGCTCCTGGTAAGCCACATTGAATTTATTTGATCCACCGTTGTTAATAATTTGTCCGACTGAAAACGTACTCTTCAGTGATAACCAGGTAGTATCACGAGATTTTGGACCGATTCTACCAGTTAATGATTTAAAAATCATCCTTGACATTCCTTTGTTGTTTCCATCGATGAATATACCATCGTGGCAACGAAAAATGAACTGGTTTCTTATTGATTGAAAAAATATTGAGTCCCCAGGGTAATAAATACTTCCAGGGTACAGTGTAACAAACTCGTTTCCTCGAATAACTTCATTGCTGAAAACGCCTAAACCGCAATTTGGAATCTTGCTGTTTTTCAAAGCGATGTCAGTATGATGTGAAACTCCACTGGCAAGAGCTTCAAGTATTTGTCGTTTGAGATTTAATTTCAATTGAACAAGCTCAGCTCCTCCGAGTTCCACGGATCTTTCTTTAAATTGCTTCTAAAAATCGTTGATAGGGATATTTTACTGACATTCAGATCAATAGTTTTTTGTGGAATTTATTTATTAATGCGATAGTTCAAAATAATCACTTCTACTTTCTCAAACAGATCACAAACTCCGGGGACCGATCATTTAGCAGACCAATCTTATGTGAAAATGAGTCTTTTAGCAGACCAAGGATATAAAGTGATGCTTGATTGATTGACATACTCAAAGAGAGCAAGTGGTCGCTAATAGCAAATACCCCGTTTGACGTTAGCGTTTTGACTCGCTAATTGTTCTGAATCTGCTAAAAAAAAATAATTGGTCTGCTAAAAAACCGGTCTGTTAAAAAATTGGTCTGCTTATAAATCCCAAGCATTAAAAATGCCAACATTAATGCAATTAGTGCCGCTGACGAAATGAATAGACTGCGTGGCCTCCTTATAAATAAAAATCCATTAAAGATTAGCTAAACTCATGAAGATTACCTATCTATCAAGTCTAAAGTTTTAAATTGAAAAAATAGGGTTCTGGATTTCACAATTTAAACCCATCTGGATATAAGGTACTGAACTCTTCTATCACAATTGTATGGAAAATATTAACCTTCAAGTTCAACAGCACCCACGGCATAAATCTATGTCTGTATGATTTCCATGACTCTATCATTTCTAACGAAAATAACAATACTGATCACAGTTTTAAAGATCACTGTTTTGTTTCACAGGTTGGCAGCAAAATGTTAAATGAAATCCACAAGATTTTTCATCTTTTCAACATGAGGAAATCTATCACTTGTAACATTCGAACGGAAAGTACATAACGACGGAAAGTAAAACTATATCATACAACGACTGGCCAGCGCAAAGATAGAGCTTCACGAATTTTTAAACGTCTTTACCAAAGCCAGTTCTAAATGGTCCTCATAACATCGGGTCAATGAGTTGTTACATCTTGAATGCAATCAGCCGATTCGCGCAAATTAACTTAGTTGCATTCATTATAGTGAAATCATGGCTGGTCTCAGTATACCCAGACCACGAGGACACTCCTAAAAACAGGGTAGATACATTATCATTATTGAGTTACCAGATTACTATTGGTTTTGTACAGTAGAGAAGATCACTCTATCCATCGGAGATGGATCGACCCTTTCCTTAACCCTTAGGTTCTCATAGCCTGAAACTGAAAATAGATGATACTATCTAAATTCAGGACGTCTCCGGAAGCTATAAGTTATTAAAACCAGAGTTCAGGAGTGTATCTTGTGACATTCGACCAGAATGGCCAAAATGCAGTCTCTGCAGAATTCGGTATTTTAGCAGCAAGCCTTCCGAATTGGCGATTTAGAACGGATAAGGACGTTATTTGAACGATTAGCCAAACGGTGAAGGCTAGAAGATTCTGGAATTCTAATTTTTAAAAATTCGAATTATGACGTCATATTTCTGAGAAACGTCAGAGACGGCCATTTTAGCTAAAATAGCAGAAAGAAACAGAACAACTTTTATCTGCGATTACGAACAGTACGAAATCGAGACTGAAAAACAACAACGAACTACCGAACAGCAGAGGACGTTCCGAGTTGCAACTATTGTGCTGTTACAATAGTTGCAAGGCCGTTGCGAGCAACGGTGAAGGGTAAAAACCAGCCCTCCGAGTTAGTGTGAACTCGACATTAAGAAGCTTGATTCACCGGATTCAAGAATCCGGAAGGGTCTCGGGACGTGAACTTTTATGAACTTGTACTGAATTTTAGCATCCGTCATGTCCTGACTTGAATTTAATTAAGATCTTAATTCGTTTTGACAAGAATGAGGAGCTAGAAGTAGGGGGGAAAGGGTTGATCCATCTTCGATGGAGATGATGATTTTTATCTACTGAACAAAAACAATAGTAATATAATAAGTAGTAGCCCTGTTTTTAGGAGTGACCTCGTGGTCTGGGGATACAGAGACCCAGCCATGAGCTCACTAATTTTGCATGTAATTCAGTTAATTTGAGCGTTCTGGTCGAAGCCGGAGAACAGTAGCGTTTTTGTCAGCCTGATGTAAGAAAGACCACCGAAAAGTACTGGCTTGGTAGAGACGGTGAAAAACATGCAAAGCTCTGTTTAGACGCTAGCCAGTCGTCTTAAGACTTAGTTTTGTTATCCGTCGATATGTATCTTCCGGGCGAATGTTACATGTATGTTTTTATGGCGCTCCTGGGTGTTATTCTTTTTTAACATCATGATCGGCAGAACCGTTAACGAGCACTCCGCGCCGAGCGGATGCTCACATTAACGCCCTTATTAGGCCTAAACCGCCGGGGCGGAAGGGTAGTTCGGAACGCGGAGGCCTTCCGGATTGCCGTGAATAGTTTTTTAACCTAGTTAAGACCGAAAATTCACAAACCAGGAAGGGTGGGGGGATCGGCCGTCCCCTCGTCCCCTGAGCGGTTGGTGACCAAAAACACTTAAAGATATAAGTAAAACCAAACAAAAAGTAGTATAAAACCCAAGAAAAACAAAAAACATAAAAAAATAACCGAAAAAACCAAAAACAGTAAAAAAGTAAAAAATCAGTAGAAATCATCCCCCCAGACAAGATGTGATTCAACCCCCCCGTTTGTTGTTGATTGATATATTGTTGTTACAGGCATTTATATCAGTCAGGATCGTTACGATCAATTTTGTGGCCCGTTTGTGAGGCTTGTACTGTAGGGTTATTTGAGCATTTAAGCACGTTAATGATAAATTGCGCCCAATCCGGAAGGGTCAGCTGATTTGCGCTCAATTCGGAAGGGTCCGGGGTGAAGACCGATCCGGCAAGCAGTACAAGGAGCAACAAGAAGGGGCTCAACGACAACAACAATCGACTGTTGGGTATCGTTAACAAGTTTTGTATCCCTTTTGGTACAAAAAGTAAGATAGTAATCTGTGGGGGGCTCGACAGTGCTGCACTGTAGTGACCCTTCACCGAACTGCGAATATCCGAGTTAAGCACCTTAATTCGGATAACAAACAAACCCGGAGGGGTATAGTATTACTAATATTATTATTCATATAGCCTATATTAATAGTCATATATCGTTTTTCAGTGAAAAACAACGAAAACAGACCGGTTTTTAGGGTCAAAATAGCGATATTTTGATCCCCCCACAAGTCGCGATTTTTGAGATATCGATATTTTTTGAAACGGAAAAAAGCGCTAAGTTAGTGTGTTACATCGAAACTGCACTACTGTAATAAGTAGAACCGGTTAACTTTAGTTCGGAAGTGGTTAAAACTAGTTTGGTACCAAAAACCAAATTTTCCCAAATTTTGATAGTAAGAAACACTAAAAATTTAGAAAATTTTTTGAAATTTTTGAGGTAGGACAGTAAAAATAGTTGTTCGGACAACGTCCACTAGTGAATCTACAAGTCTTAAAATCCGCTACCCGAAACCTTCCGGGTTGCAGAGAAATCGAACATAACGTGTTTGATTTGGTGGATTCATCAATCCGGAGGGGTCCAGGTAGCATAGTTTTTCGCAAAATTTTTCTACAATAGCGTTTTAGATCGGGTCTTTTGCATTGAACTAGAAGAGTATAGGCCTTCTGAGCTCGGATCAATAATTTTTAGGTCGAAAGGACCAGATTTGCGGAAAAAGTTAGGCGGAACCTATAAGAGAGAAAATTTTTTGAGTTCGAAAAAAAGACGTTTTGGTTAATAACTTTGGAACTACTGATCATATCGAGTTGATCTTGGTACCAATAGATCAGAAATTAGCTGAGCTTACTAATAGGATCAGAAATTTTTCGGAAAAGCGAGAGAGAAAATTTTTTGAGATTGTTTTTAGCAAATTACACAAATCCGGAGGGGTACACCCTTCACGTTTTATAAATTTTTCTGAAAAACCCTTATACCCCTACCAAAAGTTGATAGCGATTGAACTAAGTAACTTAGGACAGTTCTAGACAAAAAGGGAAGGCTGAAGGCACAAGACAACCATAATAGAGTCGAAGTTAGGCAAGTGATAAGACCCTTCACCGTTAGTGTGAATTGTCAAATAAGTGCCTTAACTTCAACCCGGAGGGGTCTAGGAAAGGACCCTATACCCTTCCCAGTTAATTCAAACAGCATAATAGCAACGCAGAACGTATCCGGAGGGGTATAAGCTGAAATTAAGAAAACTACAAAAAGCTACTTTGACAGAGCTAAGGGCTCCGAAGTCAGAGGGGTCCGAATCCGGAGGGGTCTACTTTCCACAAAACCGGAGGGGTCCGAATCCGGAAGGGTCTTATAGTCGCTAATTCGGAGGGGTCCAAATCCGGAGGGGTCTATTATTAACCAATCCGGAGGGGTCTATATTCTGACAGTCCGGAAGGGTCCTATTTGTGCCAATCCGGAGGGGTATTATTTTATTAAGGACTTAGGTAAACGAAAGAAAGACTAAAGAGCGAGAGGTATTAGGTTATTAATACACAGGCTAGGTATCAGTGACTGCACTGGTAACTTGCCTCTCAAAAAGAACCAGACTAATACAAAACAGGTCCGAACTCGGATATTCGCGACACTAAGTCTAAATTAAAAAGAGCGTGACTCATTGGTGTGGATTGAAACATAATACGTTTTTGGGGAAAGTGACTGCCCTGAGGATTTTAGTAGGTCTAGCTCGGGCAGTCCGAAGGCAGATAGGTAACACAGTACTCGGTGGGTGCAATAGACGCCCACTTGAGAAAATAACTGCCTTCAAAGTTTTGTCTGTTTGGTGCAGCACCAAGCAGGGAAAGCTTTTTCTTTAAAAGACAAGTTCGACTATTGTACTGCGACCGACTAAGAGTACAAGACACATACGTTTTTTTTATATATACATTCATATTGTGTCAATATATATTTTTTTTGTTTTTTGATTTTAAATCAACCTAAACTGTGCTTGATTGGGTAGTGAGTACACTATCTTTTAAATTGACTGATAACATCATATTGTGCTAGTTTCCAGATCTTTGGACCGATAATCGGCTATTGTGAATAAATTTTATACAAACTGTACTCTGACAACATACAGGGATTCGTGGTCACTATTTAATAGAATCTGGTGAAATTTATTGTGTTGTGTCATTATTATTGTTAATAAAACTATAAGGTCTCTAGCAATTGAGTCAAGAGTAGGCATAGGAAAGTGACAAATAAAGAATGAGTTTAGACAAGTCAAGGATACCAAAACGAGGTAATAGCTCTAGGAAATTCATACCTGAAAAGCAAAGAAAAACGATGACCGATCCTTTTGTGGATTGGATCAAGCGAACCCGGTCCGATAAAGAGGGGATTTTTTTCATTCAGAATGGTTGAAACGAGAAGTCAAAAGACCTCAGAAGAGCGAAGAGAACTGTTAGAAGTGGAGGTCAATACGGACCATACCATGAACGACAACCAGGGAGTAAATGGACTGGAAGGGAGAGGCAGAAGGCTGGCGAGTGAATCTACTCCGGTAGAACAAGGCCATGATTTTGCCACTTCCACCGGGACGTTGGATCGAGAGGAGATGTCGGAACTGTCCGACATCTCAACTGAAGTAACGGCGACTAGAAGATCTCCGACAGACAACACTATGATGGCAGGCGGAACGGGGAAACAAACAACGTCATCATCATTCTCAGAAAGAATGAAGAACACCTTCGGAAACATCTTTCCATTCAGCATGGGAGGAGGAGCAGGAAACGATGGGGAGTCCCAGGAGGAAGAGGATGAAGAGGAGCAAGGGGACTTTGGATCTCAAGTCAGTCTCAATAGTTCGATCCAGGAGAGTGAGGCACACGTCGGAAGAGAGACTGGAACCATGGATAAATTTGGTGTAGTGACAACGATAAGCAAAGAGGCAAACACACCGGGCCAGTCGAAGGACTTCGCGATTAGGACAAGTTCGGAGCCACAACCTGAAGAGAGTAGAACCAGAGGGCTTGGCAACGCGTTAGCGGATCCTGAAATAGATAACGAAAAGACGTCAAGACAGAGAGTCAAGGCCCGGATCTCGACCAGCACGAAGCTACCTGGGACCGACAGAGTTACACCACCACTAGTGACGCCACTCATGGATAACGGGGCAGCACTAGAGGAAGCCTTAAACAACATAGTGGGCAGTTTAGGAGAACAAAATGAACAGATGTCGATAAGGATGAGTGAACTAGAAAGAGCAGTTCACATT